TGAGATTCAAACGGTGTAACTTTTGTAGAAGAGTTAGGTGTAATACGGAGGGTTTTTATTAATTCAGCTACGTCCGATGCTAACTTATATGGACGATTTGTTTTGTCAATTTTCATTATCGCTAGTCGTGATTTTAATGTTCGTATGAGCCTTTCGACCATGCCTATCGCTCTGTGGTCGTCCACCGGTGCGAAAATCAGTTTTATATTGTGAGATTTACAATATATAAGGAACTTTTTGGCTCTGAAACCTTGTGCTTGGTCACATCTGATAGCACGGGGTACACCTTGGTTGACTATGTGATTTTGCATAAAACGGATGATTGTATCCGCTTTGTTATTGGTAACAACTTTTGCATACGGAAAGCGTGAAAAGCGATCGACACCCACCAATATATAAACCTCCTTATCATTTTCGTCTGGTAAGGGTCCTGCGAAATCCAATTGGATTTCCTCATTTGGTTCTACTACCGCGTCCAATGTTGTGAAGTGTTGTTTACCCGAGATAACCTTAAAGTTCTTACCCTTTTCCCGACAGCTTTTACAGTTTTGCGCCATTGAGACGATGTCTCTGTGAATGAACGGATACCACACATGCTTCGCTGCTTCTAGCATTCCCCCTTGTCCTGGATGTGTGAGGTGTAAAGCATCCATCAGTGTAGGCCTCAGTTGTTTCGGTATGACGACGCGGTCGTCGTAGAGGAGAATGTTGTCCCTGACTGATAGTCGATGCCTGACATTGTAGAAATAAGGGCCGTAGCAGCTTTTGATTGAGTCCCACTTTTGTTGCTTAACCATTGTTAAGAGTGGTGATAAATTCCTATCTCGTTTAGTAGCGGCTGCTAGGAAACTTATGTCCATCACCTTCCGTAAATTTTTTCGGAACATTGGGGTGTCTTCGTCTTCTATGCTGGCGATAGTTTGGCTCTCCGTGTCCTGTTTTGATGACTGGTTGTTGTCGGTTTGGGTTTGATGGTCTGTGTCAGGGTATTGATCTTTTTCCAGTGTCTGGCAAATGGCATCAGCTTTCTTGGATTCGATTCTGTTGAATGTGAAGCTGTTTGTAGAGGGTATGACTTGATGTGTCACGTCACTGAATGTAAGTTCTGGTGGTGGGGGTTTCGATAGAAGTGCATTAAACGATGCGTAATTTATGGGAGAGAACGTGAGTTGGGTTTGGGCTGCGGTATGTGCTTTCCTTGTTATGCGGCGAAAGGGTGGTAAAGTCATGCCTTGTTGCAATTGTCTACTCATGTTGTTTTGAATTTTTAAGTTTGAGCTGTTTGAAATTGAGTTAATTTGAGATCGACTTGATTTGAACAATTGACTACGCAGAGTGAATGCAGTTTGTGTTTGAATCGAATTTGAACGTGCGAAGTTCTCGTTCCGGTCGAGCTTTTTGGTGCCTGGATAATTAGCCGTTTTGACGTTATTCCAAGCGGCGTTAATACTACTGCTATCTTGGAATTCTACGCATTTTACGAGATCATCAATTAGTGCTACTACGAAATTTTCATCCCAGTACGCGGGGGGTTGAGGTTTTCCGACCGGGTGTCGTGAGATGTAGTCAATGAGACCCATTTTACTACCAGCTAGGTGGTGTATGTCAAAATCGAATGGAATGAGTCGATCAATCCATCTGGTTAACCGACTTTGATAGGTTTTATTTCCCCTATTACTTTTTAATGCACCAACTAATGCTTGATGGTCCGTTATTAAAGTAAAACGTCTGCCGTATAAGTAGTACTTGAAGTGCTCAATGGCCCATACTGCGGCTAGAAGTTCGAGTTCGTTTACCGAGTATTTTTGTTCACATGAATTTAGGAAACGTGATGCATACGCAATTGTGGCCCAACCGTCCGGTGTGTTTTGTTCCAGGGCCGCGCCTATACCTTCGCGGCTGGCATCACAGACAATTCGGGTGTCTCGGTCCGTTACAAAATGTCTGTTTTCTGTTATGTTCTTTACTGCATTTAAGACATTTTTGAAAGCTTTCCCGTTTTCTTCATTCCACTGGAAATTAAATTTATTTGCTGTTGATAGCAGTGGTCTAAGGGGATTACATAACTGAGCTAAGTTTGGAATGAATTTGTTTAGGTGATGAACTGAACCCATGAAACTTTTCAATTGTTTGAATGTTTTTGGATGAGGTAGGTTTATGATTGCGTCCGTTTTCTTATGGATAGGTATGGTGCCGTGTTCGTTTATGGTAAATCCCAACCATTCTACTTCCCTACAACCAAATTTACACTTATCGATTGAAATAGCCATGTTTTCCGTATCTAGTTTGGTCAGAACTTTTGTTAATTTTTCAATATGTTTTTCTTTCGTGCCATGGGATATTATTAAAATATCGTCTAGAAACGCGAAAGTGTCCTTCTCGTTGTTGAGTGTCAGATCAATGGCTTTCTGAAATTCTGCGGGCATATCAGTTAGCCCGTAGAAACCGGTTTGGAACTGATATGTTCCCGTTGCTTTTCCTCCAATTATGCTGAAGTTACACTGCGTACGGGTTGGTTCGTCTAGTGGTAGTTGACTGTACGCGTATCGTAGATCTATTGTTGAGAAATACGTCGTTCCTGGCTTATTTGTACCTTCTTGTGCCGATTGTGCTATATTGTCTAACAGAACGTCAATATTGGGCATCTGGTACTTATTTTTGTGGATTGATTTATTTATTTGTTTTGAGTCCATGGCTAATTTAATTGATCCATCCTTTTTAACAGTAATGACGATAGGGCTTATGAATTGGTTGTCGTTACATTTTTCAAGTCGAGTGATGTGACCTTGATCGATTAATGATCTAACTTCGTGTTCCACCTTTTCTTGTATATGAATGGGAATTCGACGCCCCCGTTGTTGCAAGGCTTTGAAATCCGATAAAAATTGTGTATGGACCATATGGTTTTTTGAACGTCCAATTCGTGTACACAATCCCGGATAAGTATTTCTGACCCACGTCGCAATTTGTGTGTCTGAATTTTCAATACTATTAACTTGACATACTGACTCACCAGCTGGTTTTCTTTCTTGATGTAGCTGGATGCCAATTTGTGGGAGAAGATTCCGCCCCAAAATGTTCGCCCGCCTGTCGTCCACCACAATGAAGGATGCTGTGTGGATTGTCCAACCTCCTGATTCAATTGGGGCGGTTAGTCTGCCAAGAGATGGGATTTTATAGCCATTGTAGCATACCATTCTGTTAGCTTCGTCATCCTCTCTCATTCTTGTTTTTACTGCTGATTTTACTGTTGTGGCCAGAAGGTTGGCTGTTTTTTCGTTTACGAACGATGTTGGTGATCCTGTGTCGGCAATAAAAACGATGTTGTTTTTCTCCGAGCGGACCCTTATCAGGTGTCCTTTGAGATCTGTGTCCAATAGTTCTTCTGCCCGTCTTGGTTCAAAATTTATCCAGTTTGTCGATGTATCGTCCGGATGGATTAACTCCCACCCTGGTATGACGTCACCCGCTTGTAGGTAATTAACGTATGCTGTCATATCCGTATCTTGAAGGTCTTGTTGTTCTTGGTTTTCTTCCTGGATTGCATTGACCTCACTTGATTTGCAAAGTCTAGCGAAATGGCCCCTTTTAGTGCATTTGTTGCAGATTTTATCACGTGCCGGACATTGGGCTAAGTGATTTCCTGAGAATGCATTTCCACATTTGAAACAATCTTTCTTTTGTCCAGTTTTCTCAGGATAGTTTCTGGACGTTTGTCCTCCTCTACTGCGTCCACCTCGCTGATGCGCTTTAAATCCTCCCCGCTTGTGAACGAAATTTACCGGTTCAGATTTAATATTTGGCATTCCGGGATGATTATTTGTCGTTCCCTGTTTTCTAATATAAACCTGGTTCTCGAGGCCTCTTTCACGTTTTATTGCGTAGTCCAAAGCTTGTTCGGGAGTTTTTGTTTCGGCCAGAAGGTCTTTTTGAACTTCGTCGTTTGACATGTGTGCTATAAATAGGTCTCTGACGATCTCGGATTCGAGACTAACATCGTTGCATGCCGTGCATTTAAAATTTCCTTTTACCACCAGTTCCGTAAGTCCGCAGTGGAATTCTTCCAGAGATTCTGTTTTTCCCTGTTTGCGTGTGAACGCTTCGTAACGATCGAAGGTTACGTTGCGTTCTTTAACAAATAGTTGCTTAAGGAGTTTCCAAAACTCTCTGGTTGAGGTGTCTTGAATTCTGAGATTTGGATAATATTGGGTAACTCGTCTTTGGCCCTCCGTCCCCAGACACAAGTATATGTAACTTCTGCATTTGATATCGGCTTCCTCCCATGGTATGCCGTCGACTGTGGGGCCAAGATTATCCAAGTGTTGACATTGGTTCTCCCATGTTACACGTTTCTCTTGGTTTCGAAGGTTTCGATCGCGTATTTGTTTGTCTGTTTCTCCGTCTATGGGGAGCTCGTATCCTGGTTCCTGGGGTTTTCGAACAGCTGGGGGGTTATTTAGAAGCTTGTTCAAATTCATTCCATCTTTGGCGATGATACCAAGAAACAGTTGCTGGTTCCATTTGTCCCACTCTATTGGTGGTTCCGCGGACGCTTTTTGCCAAAAGGGTGTAATCCCCAATGGATTTTTGGTGACTGCTGGCTGCGCCATGTTATACCCTCAGCCGTTGGGTGAGGTATAATTAAGTTGTCAAGTCTATGCTAAACGCTGACTATGAAATGAGAAATAGAAAAGACTACGATGGTAACTTAAATTCATCGGTCTATGTTTAAGTCTGGATGACGCTGACCTCGAAGCATTTGAGAGACAGCGTTTCATAATAACTATTACATATGTTGTTAGGTATAGATAGATACTTATTTAATCCTCAGACTTCTATATGTATTATGTAATCATTTAGGTTTATAATATGTAAACATTACCAACTGGTAGTTTTAGCACCTGAGTGGACATTGTTTATATAGGAATGTTTTACTATGATATCCGTATGGATAACACTAGGTTTAGATGTTAGTTTTAAGTCGACTGTTTTTATTTCAGCCGTGTCAGCACCAATCATGGAAATGTGTACTTCCCGGAAGCATCAATTAACCCCCTTTGAAACACCGCAGTTACTAGCCTAGTCATTCCTTCATTCCATTCAATATCTTTCTCGTACAAATTCACGTCACAAATTACCGCCGGCGGTTTAAAAGAAGGCAGAAGGCGTTTTTAATAAAACGCTGTCGGAAAAGAAGCTTTAGAGACAGCAGTCTATCGTGAGCCCAATTATCATCATAACAAAAGACTGTCTGCCGCCTGATTTTGAAACCTTCAAAAAATCCTCGCGGTCAAAATTTAAATCTATATCAAGGATTTCAAAATCTCAAAATTGCTATCCTACCCTTGGAGCGAATTTAGGTTAAACCTATGAATGGGGAGTGGAAAAATGAATTTGTGGAAGTTTTGATATCGGTTAAGCTCTCCGATTTGTTAACTGACAAGTTTCTTCCTGTTAGTTGAAAAGACGGAAAGTCGCATTAGCCCCCCAGAATCAGAGGCTTATGAAGTTAAGTTAGCCGCTTCCTCGGGCTGAAACATGGAAAAATGTGACGTCACAAATTTAGTCCAAAAGTTGACTTCAACCCACATATTTCTGAATCGTGTTTTGTTTTTCGAATCTGCTTCAAACAAGCAGAACAGAACTTACTTGGCTTACTTTTATTTGATTTATTCAGTGGCAACCTTGGTATTAATAACAATTTTAACACCATATTATGAGCCTTTTAAAACCACCTAAAAGTTCGTTCGTACAAATTTATGAGCTGAACCATTAAATGGTATAGCAAACTTAAATCCCAGTACTGAAGGAACGTGTGCATTTCCATACCAATTTGTATATTTTTAGGTTTATAGACTGAAACACTGAGATTTGTCTTTAGAGGATTATCAGGCAAAAATATTACGAATTGAGTTTAGCTCCCCGCCGCAGTGACCTATTTTCAAACCTCTGAAGTGTAATAAAGCAACTGTAATACAAATTATACAACTTAATTTGTTGTTTTTGTAGGAGCCGACATGATTGTGAAGTTCAACTTTATGAAATTATTTCAACCTTCTTTGATCAAAATTTCCCTGAACTTTTCGGTTACAATTATTTGAAACATTGTCAAGCCTTCTCACAGCGTTTATATAGTAGGTTTTTACATATTGGAATTATATGCCACCAACTTTGTTTTCCCCCTCCCAATAATCACCAGAACTCTCCCCGGCCGGCCGGACCAAATGCTGGTGGAGCTGACTTCCGTCAAGTTCTGACCGAGTGACAGTTTTGGTAGTCAAGATTGAAAACCTTATCTGGGCTTTTTATCTCTCTATTGGATTATTTTGGATATAAACTAGAAGTTATTTTCTTTGCAGTGAAATTGGAACAAGGAAAATTCGACCTGGAGCGGCATTTCTTTTGAAACAACCGCAAAATGTTTGGAGGAATCAGCGGTTCAGGGTTAGTACTAGTTCTGCTCTAATTAACTTATAACTTATTTTGTAATAATAGATGGTGTCACCTAAACCAGCTTGCAAACATTATTCCTCTTTCTATTTTTCGTCCTAGAAATTTTTCTCTGCAAAAAACACTTTTTTTGAAATTTTTGAACAATTTTTATTAATTTACGCCAACGCTTATTCTGTTCATTTTGAGTTTTTTTACCACTTAATTTTCTAGATTTTTGCCTGGTAGAATTTGGCTGAGTTTTTCTCATGCTGTTGTGAATGTACTTCAAAAATAGTTCGTACAAAATTAACCGTATTGTATCGTAGTATATTCAATTCTATTCATTCCCGATTCGGAATCGACAAAAAAAGCTTCAATAAAAAAACCTGGTTTTATTAGAAAATTTGAGAAAATTCTCTAGATATATTTGGCTTCTCTGGCCATTCTACTCAAGTAATCTGTGAAAAAACGTTGCTCTTAGTGTTAAAAGTTTTAATTTTACCATAGTTTGCTGATGAAAAATCCAATTTCCAACAAAAAATATTTTAAAAAAAAGTGGTCAAAAAAATCTGCCGCAAACAATTACGTTTGTTATCAAAACATGTCGAAGTTGGGGCAAAATGTTTAATTCAGATCTCTCAAAAATTTAAAGTTGAATCAGAAATCGAAATTTCATCTAATTAGATAATCACCGATTTTTTACCCTCGCAATAAGCAAGGGTATTGCAATAAGGTACTAGACTTTTTCCCGTAAACAACCTTCTCCACAGGATCACTTCTAGAGGATCTCTAGAGGATTTTTTCTTGTTAAGCAAGATTTTTGGTTCTACTTCTATCATTCAAGTATTGATTAGCTCGTTTCAGGTTGTAATTATTTTTTCCAAAAAGTCTGGATTATGGGTTTCAGTTTGGATGGGTCTTAAAAACTTTTCAATTTTATGAATTTTTTATGACAACAGATTTCTTTTCGGCTTGAAAGGTTTCGACCAAAGTTTGCCGCCTTTGTTGCCGCTCGGTAAATGATTTGCATTTTTAAGGGCTGCCTATGAACTTTATCTGATACAAATATGAAGTTTTTGTTGCTGTTATCTTACAACTTTTGTCAAATTATTTTTCAGACATTTTTTTGACTTCTCTCTTTTTTTTCTTTAACTATTTTGAAGCGCAAAGATGTTTTTGGCATCGCAATTGTTGCAAAAATACGCCCCGCCTCTGTGTAAAAAGTTCGGTATTCTTTTTGTTTTCTTAAGGCTCATTAAACAGCAAACAGTAATTGGACTTATAACTGCTCTCCTTTGTTTGTTGGCGCATATACAAACTGGACACATCTCAGCTGGTGATCTGATTTTAGTCAAGCTGGTGATTTGCTCGCATTGGGATGCCCGCTTCGATTGTCAGCAGCACTTTTTTAAAGGAATGCGAATCAGATTTTTTGATCATTCATGATAAAACAAAATTGATTTGGCAAATATGCTGAGAAGAACAACACACACTGTGCAATTTCAGCTTACCTCACGTTGTTATACTTGCATTTTTTCTTAAGTATTTCATGCCTTTGAATTTTGTTGATACTATCCTTAGGCTTAGGTCATTCTATTTTCCGGGTTGATACTCCATACACCGAAAATGATAGTTCTTCAATTCCATACACATTTTCGGTTAAGAAATGGCAGTCATACAATTCTCATATATGAAAAACGTTTGGCTAGATTTCCTAGCAAAAACAACATTTTTCTCCAAAAACAAATTATGATGCAATATCTATATTGCAGGAATTGTGCAAACAGCGTTTTTTGTTGACAATACTCTAAGTGTGTATGATTTAAGCAGGGGCGGATCCAGGGTTTTTTTCGAGGGGGGGGGGGGGGCAGATTTTCAAAAAAAAATTCAAAAATTTTTGTCGACCTTTTTTTTAGGTCGAACAAATTGATTTTCTGAGCTCTCCCAAAGCTTAAATCCGCTGGTGAAATGAAAGTTTAAATTTTAACAAAAAACATTTTACCACTTTAACAAAATTTTTGTAATCAGTGAGCCATTTTTTATGCCAAACTGCAATTTTTTGCCCATAATGAAGTCCAGTCGATAATTCGGCTTGCAAAAAATTTCCGCAAAAACTACAATTAAGCAGGAACTTTTCCGCCAACTAAAAGTAGTTGAGTCGTTTTGTCATATCATGCCTATAAGCTAAACGTTCCAATTCTAGAAAACCGTACACACCGTGTTGACCTCCATATTACTCAGGGCTGTTGTATTTGTCAATGCACACAAAAGTTAATACAAAAAACTAGCCAAAATAAAAATAGTTAAATTGAAAGTTTAAACACAGATAGCCGGCTGCTGTGTAAGAAGCACTTAGTGGTGGATGTTAGTCCTAAAAAAAGTAAGTTTTTTTCGATTTGTTTTTTTCATTTCAATTTTTGTGCCTGGTGTGATTTGAGAACTTTATAAACACGTAAAATATTCAGCTAACTATACGCAATTGACAGTAGTTATCCTCAAAAAAGAATGGCAAACCTTGTATGAAAAAAATTGCACCAAAATTTTTGAATTTTCTTTAGAAATCTTTTATTGCCAAAGAAGCACTAAATTCTACATCCAAAACTTGATTTTTGTTTGTTTTTAAAAAAAATTATTTAAGGCCATTTAAAAAATTTTCATTGAACAATTGTATCTAGATAGCTTCACTTGCAGGAAATTGAACTGAAAATCAAACCGGTTTTTCTCAACACTAGGACAATGTTTTGATATTTTTTATGTCGTTCGAATCACGACTCAAAGGGCTTTATTTTAGATTAGCATTTGACCCATTTTGAGGAATAATGATGGCACCTGATTTTACGTGGAAAAAAAAAACAAAAATAAAACAAGCCCGAATAGAAAATTCCTCCCCGTTTTCATTGATCCGAACCCTAAACTATGGATTTTTAACATATCTGATTGATTTTAAAAATAAAACAGATATTATGGCTATTGATAGACAAAAATTTGAATACCTGTTTCAACGGTAAAAATTACAACTACCTCAAAGTCAACTTAGGTGAAAAAATAATAATTTAAATTCAAATAAGTTTGAGGATAAATTAATATCATCTAATTAACAGTTTGTTGGTAGAAATTGTACGGCTGATCCCATTTTTCTGCTGATCACTCATACTGGAGTTTATACTTTTTTTTTCAAAATCAGTTTCGTTATTTTTACGACATGACACATAGGAGCAAAAATGGAACCAGTTTCCAGTTTTGAAGACTCTGCAAAGAAAAATTGTGATTGCTCCAACTGCATCTGTCAGAATTGCATAACGTTTAGAGTATCAGGCCACTTACTACTTGAAAAAGCAGCTAATTAAATAGGTTTTTTCAAAATAAAAAGATTTCACACTGCACAGTTCTTCTTTTAAAATGCATTTTATATACCACAATGTTGCTTTCATTTTTTATTCTTCTCGACTTACTTTTTTCGGGCTGTTTTTGGTTGAAAAGTCATCCAATTTTTTGCAATATTCCATTTACTAAGTTGAGGCGAAAAACGTGGTGTTATAAATGCGGTGTTTTTTCCTCTTGATTGTGACCACCTCAAAAACCTCAAATGGGGTCGAAATGATGCATCTTTGAGAAGCGTAAGAGGCGGATCTAAGATTTTTTCGAGGGGGGAATTGATTTTCTGACCACTCCCATTCACTATAAAGAACCCATTTTGACCAGCTTTTTTGCACCACCGGGAAAATTTTGATAAAACAGGCAAAAAAAAAACGTTTTTTGGCACTTTTTGGAAATTTTTGACCAAAAAATTGCGTTTTTTGGCGCGCGCTTTCCTCTGAAAACTAGTATATTTTGGGGCCCAAGGCTCTTTTAGAAAAAATGTAGGGTCAGTCAGCCAAAAAATGATATATTATTTTGGGTCGGCAGGGAGTCGAATCCGTGAGGGGAAGGGCGTCTACACCCCACCCCTAAATCGGCTGGTGAGAAGCATTACAATGTGTATTTTGATTTGGAATTTTTTAATAAGAAACTCCCTTTGATTTCTTTTTTGCAGTTTTTTTTGTTCTTAACTGAATCATTTGGCTGAGTTATTAATTTAAAATAAACAATATCAAGGAAAAAAACAAAGAAAAATGTTTGTTGGTTCTAAAATTCTGCTATATATTCTAAAAATTCTGCCCTAAAATTCTGCTATATATAAAAAAACTACTAGATATACAATCTGGTGCGAATTTAGGGGGGTTGCGGAGGGGATGCCCCTCCTCCCCCTCTCAGGGTTTCGACCACCTGCCGACCCAAAGGGTCCACCCTTTATACTATTTTGAGATATCCATTTTTGGCGAACGGACCCTAAAACTTTTCTAAAGTTGCCTTCGGCGCCAAAATAGATTAATTTTCTAAAACTCCCTAAAAACGCTTTTTTCGGCCTGTTTTTCAAACTTTGGCTAAAACGGGGTCTTTTTATTGCTTTGGGAGAGCTCGGACAATCAATTTGCTCGATCTAAAAAAAATCTGCACCCCTCTCCCCCACGAGAAAATCTCAGATCCGGCCATATGTATTATATGTTTTGGCTTTAAGGCTTTCTCACAAGTTTTTATTCTCTCAAATTTTTCAATTTTCCATCAAATTTGCCTTATCTACCTTTACCTCATAGATAACTGCTGTTGTTGTTTAACTTTTGCTGATAGAGATTAAAAAATTCAAATAACTTTTTTCTATACCAGTTTACTATATTAGAAATTTTATACTATCTGAATCATATCAAAATTTTGATCTCAAAATCGACGTTTAATTCTTTTTTGATCAGATTTCTGAGAAAATTGTTGGTTTGAAAATTGCCAGTTTATTCAATTTCGGATAAAGAATGATGTGACTACTCGAAGATGCGATGTATAGAAGATGAAACACTCATGCTCATAATTTGCTTCAAATTTCATTGAGGCGCTTTATCTACTCCAAAACATTTATCTGATTATTCAAAATTCA